CCTGCTGCCCCACGTCCCTCTAGTGAGGAACTCCCCTTTCCCCCCACCCCTGGGTGCCTGCCTGCCTGTCTTGGTTCTGCCCCCACCCCCAGACCCCAAGCTGCTCAGTCTCTGAACCCTCCCAGCTAGGACTGCCACCTTGGTCTTGGGGGGTCCTAGCCCACCTAGTCTGTTCCTCTGATCTCTGGGCCCTGAGGGCTCATGCAGGGGTCCCTCAGGCCTTCCCAGAGCACTGGGGCGCCACCTACACCTTTCCTAGTATTTCTCCTTGGGGGATCAGGGCTGCAGAGGTGGGCCTCTTGGCCACGGAACGCTCACCCCAGCCCTGCCAACGCTGGCTGCCCCTTCTCCTCGGCATGGCAGGACCATGGCCACTGCTGGGAGCTCGCAGCCAGCTCCGCCCTGCTCCTCTTCCCCTGAAGCAGCAGGTGGCGCCATCTTGCTTGAGGAGTCGCTCCTGTGTTCCTCCAGCTTCTCCCTGCCCAGGGGTGTTCATCTCCATCACTGTGTCAAGGCTTGCCTTCACCTCCGGGATCCTGTTGCTTTGGATGAGAGGGCCCTTGGGTTTTCTGGCTGCTTCCTGCTCAGCTGTGCTCCGCTCTCACCCCAGCGTTGGGGAGGTGCAGGGAGAGAGTGCCCACGGTTTTCCTTTGCTTTTCCACGCACTGGTTTGCACACCCCTTGCGTGTGGGGCTAGACTGTGCCTTAGCTCCTGAGTCCTGGCTCATGCGGTCCCTCCCCGCTTCAGCCCCTAGGGAACAGCCAACTCTGGTGGGCCCTGGTGAGGGGTCCCGCTGCCCTCACCCAGGGTCAGGCAGGGGACCAGGGAGCTGGAGTTGTGTCATTAATAGCCCGCTGGCCAGCCACTGAGTCTTGGAGGCGTCTGCCAAGTGCTCCTGTGGGCTCCTTACAGGCCATGCCGTGGTATTGTCCCTGTGGGGTTGGGGAAGTGAGGGGGGCCGGGGCTGTGATCATGGAGGAATCTGCCATCTGCTCCCACCCCCTCGCTCTCTTGTTGAATTTCTGACACTCTGTCCTCTGGGCCCCTGGGAGGGATGAGAGGGGAGTAGCCCCCTTTTCCAAAGTGTATGGGGACTGCCTGAGGACTATCGCTGCCAAAAAGCAGCAGCGAGCGTCCCCAAGGGTGCAGGTTGGGGGAGGGGGAACAGGCGTGCCTGCAGGGCAGCCATGGCTGTGACCTGTGGCCCTTGCCCAGCCTGAGGGACTTGCAGGGTCCCACTGAGATCTGCCTCTGTCCCTTGCGGCCTCCTCCACCCATCCTGGGCTCAGGTTCAGATTTTCCTGGCTTTGGGAGCAGACAGACAAGAGCCACCAGTCATTCGGGAAACTTTGCAGGCCGCCTTCACGCAAAACTGCTTGGTTCTCCTTTCCCAGCGTTAGCATTTGGACGCGCAGAGTGTCTTGGGCTCCTCTTACTCCCTTGAGAGGAAGCCAAGGTGTACAGAGTGGGGGAGAGGAAGAGCATCATAGGCGGGTCGTGCACATTCTCTGGGCTCAGCTTTCCCTATCTATAAAATGGGTGTAATAATACCTACCTCACAGGACTGTTGTGAGGCTTGGCAAGTTTTGGTTTAAAAATCTTTTTTGGCTTGGAAAGGGATCTAGCAGTCCAGGTGTCATAATTGGAGGGATTGTTCCAAATCTGTCCTGTCCTCATCTCTGTGTCCCATCCCCATAGTTCACACACACACGCACGCGCACACACACACGTACACACATTCTCTCTCTTCTCTGTCTCTCTCTTCCCACCCCTCCCCCTTGGAATTATTTTAGTCTTTGTAATGTTAGAACCCTGGCTCTGATGCTTAAAGTTTCCTGTCCATGGCTTTTGTTTGGTGGTTTTCAGTAGAGGTGATTGGGACTGTAGCGGGGACACTTTTGGCTGCCCCAATGCCTGAGGGCTCTACTGGCATTTAATGAAGGTGAGGGCTAAGTATGCTAAACTTAGTCCCCACCACAAACACTGTCCTGCGCCAAGGCCGGGATTATAGCCACGGAGAAACCCTGGCATGAATTTGCCATAGAAGATGTATGGGCAAAGCCATCTTCCCAGGCAGACCCTCAGCAAGTGCAGGTCTCCAGGGGCTGGTGAGGGTGTTTTCAGGACCTGTGGGCTAGAGAGAGCCATTCACAAAGTTGAACTTGGGAGCCTGGACACACGCAGCTATGCTGACACTAAGGTCAGGAGACCGTAGACGAAGCATTTCCCAGCTCCCCGTCCTTGACCCCGCATAGGACCTGAGCATTCCAGGCCTTGAGATTCTCCCGGTGCAGGAATTGAGCAGAAGGTAGCCAGAAGGAAGCTGGGGTGCTGGAGAGGTCTGGGAGAGGGGCCGGTAGAGCTCAGGGAGGGGGTGAGAGCGAGCTCCTGAGATGGGGGCAGCTGAGGGTGTGCCTGGGTGGCGTGCGTGTGTGGAAATGCGTGACTGTGGGGTGGGTGAGCCATGCGTGGACGTCGGGGTATATGGAGGTGTGTGTAAAGGCTGAGTGTGCCTGAGATGGGGGAGGTTCTGCACGTTTCATGAGCCATCTTCCCTGGCCAGAGCTACATCCGTTGGGGCACCTGGAGGCTGAGAAAGGATAAGAGACAGAGGGGGAGATCAGCCGTGCTCCTGGGCTCCATAACGCCGTGACTCCATCTCATTGTCACAGACAGCTGCCATCAGAGTGCTGGGGGGAGGGAGTGCCAGGAGTGGGCACTTCTCTGGGGAAAATCCTACAGCTTGCTTCACTTTGTCCCAGGTGGGAGTCCTTACCCTCCCACCCGATACACAGTGCTTTTGACTATCTTATGCATGGTTTATTCCTCTGCCTTGGATGACAATACTCATAGTCAATTTCCTATGTAACTATAGATCGAAACAATGCAGCACAAACGGGCCTTGGGGGGGCCTCAGATCTGCAGGTGCCTCCTGGGAGGCGCAGATGTGCACACACCCAGCACTGACTTGTGTTCAAGCACAGAATGAATGTGATCAGACTGTCTTGCCTTGGCAACATGTTTTGCATTGTAGGGTTTTATCTAGCTTTGCCTTGGATGAAATAAAAATTATGTTTAATAGAAATGGTTTGGGGTTTCTATTTTTGGCTGACTGGAATTTGGGGCCCAGTTTTATTACTTGCCAGCCAAGCCTCAGTCTCCTTGTGTCTGAAACGTTCCCTGCCTTGGTGAGATAACAGATGTAAAAAGTCTAAGGATGTCTGGCATATTCACAGGCATTCAGGTCGTATTAGTGCTAATAGAACTTCTCTGGAGAAGCTGCAAAGATGGGCCTCTAATACTGGAATCGTTGCCAGGGCCCTCCCTGTACCGATGACCTTGGCAATGATTCTGGTACCACTAAATATCATCACACCCCCTTCCCCAGGCCCTTCCACCCCAGGTTAACATTTATATCCAGGTGAAATCTGTTTCAAATGTACAAGGTAAACCTTAAAGAGGAAAAGCACAAAACAATTTACTGACTGGCGTATGTGGGCACACTGAGCCCTGCTTGGCTTCCCTCCAGTTTGCTGTTTTAGGGGACAAGCTATCTGGGGGGGTGAGGGAGGGAGGAAGTTTAGGCTTATACCCCAGGAATGACTCTACCCATATGCACATTTCATATTGTCCATCTTAAGTCATTTGAACGTAGATTAACCAAGCACTCATGCCTTCTTTCCAGCTGCTGGGCACAAGGCCAGGCTGGGAAAGAATTGGGACTATGCATGCGTGTGTGTGTGTGTGTGTGTGTGTGTGTGTGTGTGTGTGTGTGTGTGTGAGTGTGTGCTTATAATCATGGATTTTATCATACCACACTTTCTTACCATACCATATCCTTCTCTTCAATGGATTCACCTAAGACTGCATCTCAAAGGGTTTCAAACACTAAGTCCTCAAAGATCTTGTTAAAAGACTCTTCCTCCTCAATCAAGGGCCCCAGCAGCACAGAAGTCTGTGAGGTCCTCAGTTTCAGCTTATGTCCCTGACAGCACTCTTTTCTGAGCCCTCAGCTAAAGTACCTGCTCTGTGCTCTCACCCTGAATGGACTCATCACCTGGATCCCCACGCCACTACTCACCTGTCTTCAGGTACAGCTTGTGGCCTGGGACCTCCTGCCAGCTTATCATCAGCTATAGACCTGTTGGATATTGAAGTTTCCTGGTCCATGTCTGAGTTTATAACACTCTTGGAATGCTGTTCATTGAACGTGCTGTTCTCCATGTAAGGATCAGTCCCAAAGTCTGGGTAGGTTCCCATCATTGCTGTTTCATCCCTACTTCCTCTCCCCATTCAACTGTCATCATAATGGATAGATAAACAATTGTGTCAAAACCAAATTAGGAACTGGGACTGTCCTGGGCAAACCTGGACATACGGTCACCCAGTTAAGGCCATACTGACTCAACTAGGACAAAAATACACATAAATTATGTGTTCTTAATTTGAGCTGGTAGCAGGCACAGAGACCAG